TGCGAAAGCTGCCTGGTCTTCTTGCGGGACTTTGGCGAAGAGGACCTGCGGATCAATCGCACCGTCGGGCAAAATTCAAACGTCAAACGCTTCGACGTGCGTGGATCCTGTGATCCGCTGGCGCTTGTCCCATTTGTGTCTCGTCGTTCACTGACCACATCGCTCCACAGCGGCCACAACTTACACCCCTGCCGTGTGCGACCCCGCCGTGAGCCCCTCGCCGAGCCGTCCTCGCACCCACTCGTTCGTGTGGCCGCGTGTGGCGTAATAGGTCCTCCGGTCCAGTACGTCCCGCCCCCACTCTCTGTCTGCCGTCCTCCGGCGGTCCGTGTGTAGGCACGGGCGTGTCCTCACCGCTCCCTGAGCCCTGGTCTGACAGCCTGACAGCAAACCCCGGACACAGCGCCTGACAGTGCCCGACAGCCTGACAGCGCTGACAGCACTTTCTCTGACAGTCTGACAGCACGTATCTGACAGCCTGACAGCAGAGCCTGACAGGCGAGGCGACCCGTCGCTGTCAGGCCCTAACGTGACAGCCTGACAGCGCCTTGCCCTTGGACGGTGGCGAAGCCAAAAACACCGGCAGTGGCCGTCCGCTGGCGTGAGCGGCGGCGGTCGAGACCTCACCCTTCGCGCCGACGACCCAACCTCACGCGGAACAACCCAACCCAACCCAACAACCCAACCCAACCCAAAAAGCACGATTCTCCTGTTGGGCCCTCTGTGTGTGAATACTCACTCACTCACCACCACCCCCTCCCACCTCCACCGTCGAGCCGCGATCGCTGCCGCCCGCAACGCCGCCCGCCGCGTCAGATGCCCGCGACGCGCGCGTCGAGTCGAGTCGGAGAGCCGCCCACACACACACTCACACACATCACCAAGGTTGCCCGCAAAAGAAAGCCAATTCTTGACTTGGGCCCTGCGGGCGGCCTTCTCTCGAGGTCTCGAGATACACAAAGCGGCCAAATCACCAAGGGTACCCGCCCCCACCCCTCACCCCCCCACCTCCCTGCGCTGCTGGCGACGCCAACAGGAGTACGTGGACACGACCTTGCCACACCCAGAGGTGCGCGATGGCGACGCCAGGGTCCGCCGCGGCAGCCGCGGAGGACAGGAAGCTCGCGCTCGACGCCGACGAGGACGTAGGCGAAGAGGGCGAGGAGGGCGGTGAGGAGGGCGCCGATGGAGCGCCTTCGGCGGCGCGGCTGGCGCGGCTGGCACGCAAGGCGCAGGCGGCCCGTGTCGCGCGGCTGCGGCACAAACAGTTCGTGGCGGATCGGCAGGAGGAGAACAGCGCACTCGAAAAGGACGAGGCGGCCGCTCCCCTACCCGCGACTCGAGAGATTTCCCGCTGCTGCCGCTCCCTCCGCTACCTCACCTCCTTTACACGCGCCGCGGCGGCGGCACGGCGGCCAAAGCCGCGCCCTGCGCGGCCCTATCTGCCCGCCTCGAGCCCCCGCGACCCCCGTCCCGCACCCCATCCCGCGGCAATCCGACCCCAACCGCCGTGTCGCCCTGTCATCGCCCTTTTCCGAGGCCTCTCCACAACCTCTCCACAACCTCTCCACAACCTCCCGACAACATATCCACAACCTCTCCACAACCTCTCCACAACCTCTCCACAACCTCTCCGCGACCGTCCCGCCACCTCCGCCGCCGCTCAGGCAGCGCTCGTGGCTGAAGAGGCTGCGGCTGCCCCGGCCACCCTCGCGGCAGTGACGGCGGACTTGCGCCGCGCGCTCAAGCCGGAGGAGCTGGGACAGCTGGCCTCGTGGCTGTGTGAGAGGTGCGTGAGAGATGGGGAGGGGCGGCGAGAGGTGGGGAGAGATGCTGGCATCGTGGGTATATGAGAGGTGTATAGCCTCCTCCCTCCTCCTCTCCTCCTCACCTCCTCCCTCCTCCCTCTCCCCTCCCCGCCTCGCCTGCTGTCCTCCTCCCCTCCCCTCCCCTCCCCTCCCCTCCCCTCCCCTCCCCTCCCTTTACCCCTCACTGGCACGCTCTCACGCCTCCGCCTTCACACCAAAACACAACCCCGGACCCAATACGCACAAGCACGCCACAGACAGTCGAGAAGGGAGAGACAGCAAGGACAGCCTTCACCGCCAACCTCCCTCGCCCCCCCTCCCGCACGCCCAGGCCCGGCGGAGCAGCTTACGTCGAGACTTACCTGCAGCAGCCAAAGAAGGTCGAGCCGGCGCCAGTCACCGCCAGTCACACGGTCGCCGCGCCGACGCCAGTGGCAATCTTCCCGCCGCTGCCGCTGATGCCAGAAGTGCCATTCGCGCTCGCACCGACCGACGCCAAGACGCCCTCTTCCAAGCCACCGGCCTCCCCCTCCGACGGCACCGAGCGGCAGCGAAAAAAGAAACGCGCGGCCGCACGCGCGGCGGTTCGCTTCCTAGGCCTCGCGCTCCGACGGCAGCCCTCTCCCGCGGCCGACGCCGTCGCCCGCAGCGCCGCCCGTGCCGCCCCACCGCCCGCTCGGCGCTGCACTCGCTAACGGCGCGCCGCCGCCGCTCAGCTGCAGCGGCGCCGTCGCGCGGCCCGGTGCGCGCTCGCTAGTAGCGCACGGCTTGCACCCCCCGGCATGCCGCCGCTCTCGCCCTCGCCTCCAGCCACCCCGCCGCTGCCGCCCGTTGCCGTCGACGCCGCCACCGCCGCCGCCGTCCTCTACAGCCGCCGACGCCTCTCACAGGCGCCACCGTCATTGTCCCCGCCCTTCCTCACCGCTGGCTTCACTGTCTCCCTTTAACGACACCTCTCTAAGTTGAGCCGCTGAATCTCCCGAAACCATCGCTCGGGCTGCGAATAAGACTCTTTCCACTCTACATACTG